CCCTAGATAAAGATCTGTAGGCAATTAATGGTTACTGAGAAGGAGAGATCAGTCTTCCCATGGCTCTTCAATCCCAAAACACATATACATACAATCAACATCAAATAAACTCAGCAAGTTGTATATGTAAGTGTGTGTGTATGTGTGTGTGTGTGTAAAACAATAATAACTAAAGAATAAGAGTCCATGAAGTTGAGAAGAAATAAATGGGAAACTTGAAAGAATTGGAGAAAAGAAAGAGAGGGGATAAAATTGTGGCAAAACAGTACTTATGTATGAAGTTCTCAGAAAATGAAAAAGCAAAAAAGAGAAATTAAAAAATGAGAACATGAAGTGGAGACATCATTGGGTCAGTGTAATGGCTCTTCTCTCATCAATATCATTTGCTATGAAAATGTGCGACACTTCTACCAGCATCAGATTCTAATTATCTGCTAATGGCTTAATTTAACAAGATGTGGTGAGTGTCTTGTTTAAAAAGTCATCCAAAGTAGGTGTGCAGATCCAAGTGGCTTCTGTTTGACTCTGAATGCAGGCATCAGACAAGGGATCTGGTTTCTCGTCTTCATCTGAATGTTTGACAAAATGTAAAGTAAATCAAGAGGCAGTATAACCCCATAAACTTCAAGTAAAAGAACTGGGTACCCAAAGATTTCTGTGTGATGCCTGAAGCCAGGTTCCTTTAGGCAAAAGAACTGACGCTGGCTTGGATACAGGAATCCTCAATGTACGCAAAGTGGCACAGATGTGAACTGATAACGCAGCACCATTGAAACAGACAGATGGGGACAGCTGGCAGGTTTTCGTGGTAAATAAAACCCTGTGCTGAGGCCAAGTCTAGAAACAGTATGCAAACAGGCTATTATGGACCAAATGTGACTAGTCACAGTTCAGGAAATAGCTTCACACATGAGACAGAGGAATAATTGGTTACTGTGAAATGGACTTCTCAATTATACCCATACTCACTGCTATCAATCAACATTAGCATGTCAGGATGAAAGCCAGAAATCTCAACATTCTCACTGAGGGTGAGCCAGTCAGTATCACTAAAAATCCAACACAAGCATGTAGTCCATGCCCAGAATGTTGGTCGTTTATCCTGAATGTACTTTTTGTTCACTTGACTTATGGCAATCAACTCCATGTTTGGCATCTGAAAATATCACTTAGTGAGCTGGCAAGAGAGTAGATCCAGTTCATATATATTCTTTTATTCACAGAGCAAAGTTTAGTATCCTGCTGGATAAATAAAGCATCAAAGTAATAACAGGAGTCAAAGTGTACATAACACAGCAATTTGTAGAGCCACTGACATCAGCCAAATAAAAGCTATTGAGAATTTGTTTGTTCATTCAACTAGAACTACAGTTAGACTTTATTAGGATTCATAAAAGACAGTGTTTCTATATGAAAGACAAACTGTTGAATGTTACTTCTAAAACCACCAGGTATTTGGACCCCCATCTGCAACTTAACATCTTTCCTGAACGGAGTCAAGCCTGGTATCTGGAGAGAGGAAGCATATCAACTTCCTGGTGACTTCTTTGCTCCCTGGAGTCATCCTTCACTTTTAGGAATAATAAGAAACCAACACTTAATTAGTTCAAAAAAAGCCATATTTTTTACTAATCCATAAAGAATTACTTGTCTTGGGCAACCTCTGAAAGTCATGTCTTTGACATGTACAACCCTCAGTCGCTCGGCTGTCTGTTTGCCTCGCAGCAGGTCCCACGCTATCGTAAGGACTTGCAGTGATTCAACTGTTGTAGCTGAGCATGTGGGATAGCAGGTTTAGAAAGAACAAAGGTTGAGATTTATCTTCAGTATCTGTCCACATACGCCTGGGTGATTTGGTTGTGACACAGCTACTCATTTGATCCCCTGGGCAGGAATAATTTACGAGGAGAGTTACTCAGTTGGCCAATTTTGGTGCCTTCTGTCTTGAAGCAGAGTTTCTAAATATTTGTTCTTTGCTCCCTAGTTACCTTGTTGCTTCGGCCCCGCGTAGATCTTTGATCTTCCTAATTTCATCCTCTACTCCTTGGCTCATGCTTGCCTTCACTCTCCATAAAAAGACTCCATACAACTCTCGATACATACCGAATGTCAGCATCAGGAGAGGGTATTTTGTTTTTCCTGACTAAATATCTACTACAGCATCGCAGGCTTTGCTTTCCTGAGCACTCTGACTCTGTAAGCATCTGTGGAAGGCGTGGGTGTCATGTGCTTGTCTACACCCTGTGTGCTCCTTCTGTAATAGAGATTTCTCCACATTTCAGAATCAACGTAGAGCAATAACAATCATCACGGGATAACAATTACGTCATCTCCTGATGAGTTATCCTAGGGCAGCTCAGAAGGGCAGCAAAGAATGCTTCACATGTTAGGTGGATATGAGAAAGTGAGTGGGAGCCACTACTCTGACAGGACACCATTCTCTATGGAAGAAAAGCATGTGTAGAATGTCAGGAGAACTTAAATCCTATCTCCTCATCTCTTACCATCTTTGGGGGGCAGTAGCCAGAGACCACTCAGCTGTTAACAGCAGATCTAGGGCCAGAATCCACTCCCCTAACTTTTGATTGCCTACTCCTGGGACCATCCTCTTTGGAAGGCAGTGATTCTATTTAAATGTGAATCCAACAAGTGATCATGTGCTCACATTTTCATCTTCAAAGCTCATTTATCCTTTTTATTGTATAAGATATTTGATGATATAACATTTTATATCAAAATTTCAACCTTTTAGTAAATTTTATTATTGTTGTGTGTAAGAGATGTGTTTGTGTAAATTCAGGGATAACTCTGTGGAGCTGGTTCTCTCCTTCCACTCCACTGAATTCTGGGACATGAACTCAGATCATTAAGTTTGCACAATAAATGCTTTTATCATCCAAACCATGTCTCCAGTGTGACAATTTAACTTTTAACTGCTCCACTGAGCCTTAAGTAAGAATGACTGTACTGTGGCTTGTTTCTAATAACTCTAGGGATAAATGAATTCGTGTTTGAGAAGGCCACCAACTAGTTTATGTATAATACTGTGATTTCTCATAAAGACAAATGCTGTTTTTCAACTATCATCCTCAATATTGCATACAAAAATATTAAATCATTGAACTGACTGCTTAATATTTTCTAAAAGTGTATCTTTAACAATTTTGCCATAATAAATGAGCTAATTTACTAGTGAGCATAGAATTTTGATATTCCAGTGTGAATCATAATATATATTGGTAGTTACACTGAGGGAAGCATGTTTATAATGGTCCTAAACATTGTAACAACATTGTGCACTCTTAGATCTCAATAGCAGCTCTTCCAATCCTGTGGGTACAAGCTCCATCTCATCACTTGTGTGTTTTTCTGTTCTCAGACCTGAATTTATTTATTCCCTGAGTTGCCAGAAGCAACACACAACACAGTCATTCTGACTCAAGGTTTGCGGGGACAGTTATAGGCTTAAATTGTCACACTGGAGAGATAGCTCAGTGGATAAAGTCATTTGTCATGCAAACATAATCTAATCTATTATCGAGGAAAAATGCTAAGTAAAGCTATAATGCAAGAGCTGTCGCTTTTAATTTTCTAAAGGCCAAATTATTATTTAAACGCATAATCAATATAAAATTTCTTGGTATTATTTTTTTACATTCATATTACATCTGAGTGTGCACACTAAATTTTCCGTGACTGAAGTCAAATGAAATCCTATTAAAATACTGACATTGTGTTTAGTAAGAAATATTTATAAGTACTTTAATTTTAAGGTTAAAATGAAAGTAATGAAATTCAAATATAATTTAGAATTCAGTTCTTAAATTTTGCTGACTACATATAGCTAGTAGCTATGATGCTGGATCTAGAAGATGAAATGATTAAAAGCCAAATTCGGGAAGTATTAAACTGTGCTACCAGCAAGAAGTAATATGATTAAAGTATTTAAGAAGAGATCAGTAAACAATGATATAAAAGGCTATGGGCCAGGCATGGTGATACACACCTGTAATCCTAGCACTCAGGGAGATGAGATAGGAGGCTCACTAAGTTGAAGGCAGCCAGGGCTACGAAGTAAGAGGATGTCAACGAAAAGAAAGAGAAAGAAGAAAGAAGGTGGTGGGAAAATGAGGGAGTAAAGGAAAAGGGAGGTGAGGAGGAAGACAGGAGGAAAGGTCATGATAATTAAAACATATATTTAGAGAGGTCAAATTATCTCTGTTGAGTTTTATCTGAGAAATCTTTAAACTTTGGTTTTCTTATCTGTAAAGTTATGTTACCGGCACTAATGGAAGCCTAACATTAAATGAAATCATTTAGATAGCAGCCTTCTCAGAATATCTAGTATTTTCCAAGGTTCGATAAAGTCCACCATCATCATTAGTAGTTATAGAAGTTCTGGAATCTGTGTGTATTTAGGTGAATGACATCTCTAAAAGGGTTGTAACCATTAATTGTGAGATATAGGAATTGGGGGTGTGTTTTATAAACTTTATTCTATTGCATTATAAAATGCATATCAAAAAGGCATAAGTATATATAACGCAATGGATTTTTACAAAACAAACATACCTGTGTACCCAAAAACATCCAAATACAGAACATTCAGAGAAAGCCAAAATCCTTCTCATGGCCAAAAACAAAACAAAAAACAAACAAAAAAAAAACTATCACTCTCCTGACATTCAAAGATTATAGATTTGCTAACTGTATATAAATGAATACATAACCCACACTCAAAAGAGTCCAGCTTCTTTCATAAAAATGTATCCATTATAAAATACCAAAAACGTATTTTTGTATTTTATTAGGTTACATTCAACTGTATTTCCAAAATTAATACATTCATTTAATAACAAGTGGGCTTTTTGAGTTGTTTCTAGATTGGGACTGTGACAAAAATTCTTGCTATGCTATAGGACTCTGTTGAAGTACGCTTAATGGAATTTGAGTTTTTAAACTTAAAAGCGAGAATCACTCCTCAGGTAATTTCTGCTTAGGTACCTTGGATAAGCACAAGGAACTGGAGGAGCTCATGGCTAAGTTCTTGAATGTGGAAGCAGTGATGACCTTTGGGATGGGATTTGCAACCAACGCAATGAATATCCCTATACTTGTTGGAAAGGTAAGAAATTGTTGTTATGTGTCTTCTTCTGCTTTATGTATAACCTAATGGATACATAGACAATACACCTATGTATTATCTTAAAAATTACATCTTCATGGAAATCCTCTATCAGAAGCTTTGCCAAAACAGTCCTTTTCTCAAGATCAAAATCTTTGCATCAGCATAGGCTAGCAAATCCTCATGATCATCCCAGTTATTAAGTTGCCAAACTAAATATGGATCAAATGTTATCTTCAATAGTAGCTTAGACAATCTGAAGTTTTAAGGACTTGCAGCTGCATTTGTCATGTAGCAAGCACATACTAAGCATGACTTTAGACCAAAAATTTTCCAAGCCATTTGTTCATTCATCAATTGGCTGACTAATTATTGAGATTCCACATAGCATGGCATGAAGCCACACACAGGATATAAGAGGATGAACAATATCCCTGCCTTGTAAATTTAAGTGTTCACATTATAGTGGAGAAACAATATACTAAATAAAATTGGATGGGTGCTACAGGAAAAGAGAGCTGGCAGCTCTTCTTGAGATACCTTGCAGTGGCTATACTAGAATTATGAGAAGAGAGCATTGATATACTATCATTGATATTGTTCTTGGACCAATAAAGAAGGGATTGCATGTACAAAGCAGAGAGTGCGGAGGAACTGAACACAGGCTCATGATCCAAAAAGAGACCAACAATGAAAGCTTTTGCCAAATCACAAAGAACTTCAGAGCATAAATCATGCCAGAATGTTTAAGAATGTCCCTGAGAAAGAAATGAGAAGTGGGCTACATCATGTTAAATAAGCAAGATTTATGCTATTAAAATAAATAAACCAGATTTATGCTATTAAAAATGCAATGATAGCTAAGTGTGATATACAATCTAAAGTTGGATTCTGTGAATTTCATTAAAAAAATAAAGATAACACCATTAGAAGTATTAGAATAGTTAGGAAAATGATTAATTTTAGTGACATATTAGATGCTGATATATAATATATGTAACATTTAATAAAAATTTGGAATTTTGTGGCAATAACAACTGCCACATTTATAGTAATTACACAGCCAAAGAACACAGATGTGAGGTATCATGATGTTTACAGTAATTCTTAAATGTTTCAAAAGAAAAAAATCATAAATAGACACGTATTTTTCAGTGTGAAGATAATACAATTTTGCGGGCTTTAGCCTCAAAAACATAAAACATTTTGTATGTGAAATTATCAAAATATAAGGAGGGGACTCAATTCCAGGTGACCACAGAAAACAAAAGAGAGCCATCATTTCTCTTCATTTTTGGTATCCTTGAAAAGCTCTATATGTATGCATTTTAAATTTTTAAAGAAAAATAAATTTACAAGCATTATGGATGAGGAGCAGTATTTTCCACCCACCACACACTGACCTTCCATGCATGCACACTTTTCCAAATATCCAGTTTTTAACAGTAAAACACAGATGCTTCTGTCTCTTTGGGCTGTTAGCACAGGCAAAATGAGCCCACAAGATAAGAGTTTGAAATGCCTTACTGTAAAATGCCTCCCGAGCTTCCCGGAGGACTAATGAGAACCTTCCAAATAATCTAGCACAGAATCAGGTACCAAATAGTCTATAGCCCTCTGCCACACATCAGTCCTCCAGTCACAGTCTTCAATCCTTTAGACTCTGACTGACGCTTAAACATGATCTTTCTGTTGAAAACCATCTGTGAATGTTCCAGTAGAGACGCAGTGTCTTACAAACAGCTGCCATCTCCCTGAGCCAGCTAAAAGACTAGAGAGCTAGCTGAAAGATTAGATTTTTGTCCATATAAATACCAGCTAAAATTCAACCTTTTCAAATTAAATAGAGTCCAGGCTTAACAAGGGTTTTGGTGTCTTCTAGTTCCCATATGTTGTCTTTTCTTTTGTCATCTTGTGGTTTGTGTTTGTTTTCTGCCTAGGGATGCCTCATTTTAAGTGATGAGTTAAACCACACGTCTATCATCCTGGGGGCTCGACTCTCAGGTGCAACCATAAGACCCTTCAAACACAACAGTGAGTATCTGAGCATTTACCTAGAATACACTGGCTTGCTCCTAGGCAAAGGTCAAGGTTATTCATGATATTTTGTCCTTGCTTTTCATACTGGCAACTTAACCTAATGAAAGACAATTATGCTTATATTCAGTGCTGGCTTGTTAATCTCTGGTGACCTGGAACAAATGGCTGAAGTATATTAAACATCCAGATTGCTAAGTGTTACCAAAACACATAAATGTCACAGTTAGTGGTCTTGCGGTGTGGTCTCTGAAGATGTGATTGATACCTTAGGATGCCAATTAATTATCAGATGTGTCACAGTTCTGCCCTTCCTCTAACCTTGTCTTGGAAAAGTTCAAAGATTTTACATTTTGGGTCATGTGTAAGTAAAAAGCGTTCTTCTTGGTATAATGCTAGTTTTCCCTATTCCTGCATACAAAATGTTAATGTCTATATCCCCCTAATAGTCTTAGACTTTGTTAAAATACCCTTTTAGAAGCTAGAGAGATGGACCTGTGTTTTAGAACACGTGGTTCTCTTGTAGAGAACCCAGTTTCAATTTCCAGCACATACATGGTAGCTTACAACCAACTACAACTCCAGGTAACTAGGGTCCAGATATCCTCTTCTGACTGCAGTGGGTAACTTAACACACATGGTACACATACATACATGCAGAAAAAAAACATTCAGAGACATAAAACAAAATAAAAATAAATCTCAGAAGATTTTGAATGCCCTTCCAGGCTCTGTTTGAAGTGACTAAGTAGTGAAAAAGATGCAGAGGGCTATTCCTTCACTCTTTATGGGTCAGATCAGACACCATTAGAAGTCTCTGGAAAACAACTTAAAAGAAACAGGCCATGGCTGGAAGCACCTATGTTCTCTGATCCAGATGTACTCCTGATTTGTGCCACTTTCTGCAAATCCTTTCATCTTTCATTCAAAGTCCTCATCTGTAAAGCTAAGGAAGACGTTGACCTATATGACCTGTTAAAGCTCTGCTTCTGGCACATTTAGCACCAGAGGCTTCCTTTCATTTTGTGTGCATGCTCATACAAGTACACACATACACATGCACATACACACACACCCACAATAGCACACACATTAGCATACTTCCTTTTATTTCTTACGGCCTTTCTCTCTTTCTTTCCATTCCCCTCCACTTTCCTTGTTTCTTCTCCTCAGCACACACCTTCCTTCAAAGAATTCACAGAGAGTAAAAAAGAGAAGACTGGTAATGAGCAGGAAGGATTATGTAAAGAACAATTGTCTCATGAGAGAGGAGAGAATTCACATGAGGGTTCTCAAGTGAATTCAATGAGTCCCTTTTCTAACTAGTGGAGTGTTCAACAAAAACCTGCTCTAACTGAAACAGGGCTGGGGTAGGGGTGGATATTGTGTTCAGTGAAGTTGTTCTAATACCAGTAAAGACTCAGGAGTCAGATATTGGAGTAAAAACCTGATAAATCGAAGAGGTGGAGGAGCAGCGACGAGCTGACCTTCACTCCACGGTTCCCAGATCGAAGAGCGCATGACATCTCTTAACTTCCCTCCCTACTCCTTTCTGTGCAGCTTCCCTATTCATATTCCCGCCTTTTCTATGGCTAATTCCAGTCAACTAGTCGCTGGCTCTGTCCCGACTCAAGGGTGACTTTCATAACACAATTTCAGGGTATCAAATATCCCCCAACAGGTGGGAATTGACATATATTGGGAAACTACGTTCAGCGTCTGTGAACAGATTGCTATGATGGGGGAAGGACCAGGGCGAGGCACTCCAGAAGAACAAGACTGCAGATATGTGGCTCAAATCTGATATAGTTCAATGTAATTAAAAATAGGTTGGCCTCATTTTTTTTGTATTTGCAACAAATATTCAACTTTTCATTTTATTATTGATAAAATAAATCTCTTAAGTTATATTGATTTTCCATCTAGTATCACATCCAGTTTCACATTATATAGGTATTACTAAAAAAATTCATGTTTGAAATATACATTTTTGGGGGGATTTAAGGAGTATATTTGTGCTGGGTATGATGGTTTCTTCCAGGAAGCCTAACACTCAGGAATCTCAGTTAAGAGGATTGTGAGTTCAAAGCCAGGCTGATATTCATAATGAAGCTCTCCTGAGACAAGGATGAAGCCAAAGAAGAAACAGTAATGCTTTTACAAAGTGGCCAGTCAAATTCCTTTGGTGTTAGCACAAATGCAATGTGTGTCTTTGCATCTTTAGCATGACAGATGACTGATAGTAGAAGCTTATACCTGGAAATGAATAAGCCATATATACGGTTAACACAATAATCTCACTTCTAGAATAGACAGAGCTGGGCTGTGATTTATTTGGAACAAGTGAGCTGGGTCATTGTCAAGACTGATTACTTATTTCTTCATTTCATTCTACTAAAATGTAGTTTGTGGTCCAAACTATAAAATATAGGCATCTAGGGACCATCCATGGCAGATAAACGATTGTTCCCATCTCCAGACCAACTTAAAACAAATCTTTTAGTTGAAACGAATACATTGACAATATATAATGTACAATGAGAGACAGAAGACCTAAATCTTATTATGGATTTTTGTATGAATTATTTCATATTTGTATAGAATGTGCTCTGGTCACTCTCTACCCCTCCCTTCTTACCTCCCTCCCATTCCTGTCACCTCCTTCCTCCTCACGTGATTCTTTACAACATTCATGTCTTTTTGCTTTGTTTTGCCACCTGGGGAATGGGGGAAATTTCTAGGCAAGGCAATATAAAACAACCTTATGTTAAATAAGGTTGTCCAACCACAGAATACGTTTTGCTATGCAACTGTTTCAGTGATTACTCAGGGCTCACAGTAGTTTAATATAAAACTAGCAACACAAACCCCACCACACAAGCAGCCATTTAGTATTATCCTTCAAATTCTACTCACAGGAAAGTGATGTCGGAGAAGCCACATGCAAGAAGCTTGGACAGCAAAAAAAACAGCAACACTGTTAGTGATGGGTACATGGACATTTTATCTTCAATGGAATATTTGAGGTTTTCTCCATCATTTACATAGAATGCAGAGCAGAAAACCCCAAATTATAAACGCTTGATAAAAGCCAAGGACTTGTCTTGGCAATATTATAAAAGATTAAAACAATCCAAGAAAATAGTTTACTATAAAAGATACTGAAAGTTGTGACAAAAACACCTGGTCTTAGATGCTGAATGACATGAGATAATGTTATTCCTGGGTCAAACTGTAAACTCAGAAGAGAGACTAATAAACTTAAAAGTACTAAGTAAGAGTAATACGTCAAGGTGGGTAACTATACTACCTATCACCTAAGAACTTTGTTTGTAAATGGTTACAAAGAGGAGTGTGTAACCAAGAACATGTGTGGTTCATAAAGCATGTGATATTACATCTGGTTCCATACAGATAGATCAACCAGCCCTGTTATTGTCACATAAAAGTATATCTCTCTTCTTAGGGAAGGTGTAATGAACTATTTAGGGATAAAGGATATGATATATGTAGCTTAGTCTCAATTCAGAAGAAATAAATGGTGAATGGATAGATGATAGATAGATAGATAGATAGATAGATAGATGATAGATAGATAGATAGATAGATAGATAGATAGATAGATAGATAGATAGATAGATAGATAGATAGATGATAGATACATAGGTATAATATGTTGAAAGATTAACCTGGGACAGGTGAATGAGAATTTTTCAGAATGTCCCTATTCCTATAATTTTCCAAAATTTAAATATGTTCAAATACATTTCTATTTTAAAATCTTCAACTCTGCTGAGATTACAATTAGCATTAAATTTTTATTTTCTGCAAAGCTTTTTAATATTCAACCTATTCAATAACTTACTCTTCATGCTGCCTTCTTACTCCCAGAAAGTATATGACACTATTTATATTTATAATAAATGTTAGCTGTAGCTATTTTGTACCAGAAACTAGCAGTTAATTGAGAATTTACTATATGCCAGATGTCTAGTTATTGACACTGCTGCTCTATTTATTAATTTATTCATTTAGTTAGTCATGCAGAAAACATAATAAGATAGGAACAAATTAATAGATGAAAAGATTAAAGTTCAAAGGTATTTAAGAAACTAACCCACAATAATCTAGAGAAGAGGAACAACTCAAAGAAAGTATTGTGGAAATGGTATAGAGAGACTCGCTCTTTTGTATGTAAACTAACTTTTTAAAAAAATGATTCTACAAAGTAACAGTGAAATCTGGGACTGCCTGGAAAATGCTGCCCTTCTAATTGATTAGGATTTTGCAGTGGGGTCATCATCTACCACCTCCTAGTTCACAGACATCCATTATGAATGAGCTGCTATTGCTTAGTTTTCTGTGGAAGGCAAAATAATTGCCCTGAAACATACCAATGCCCTGGTTCCCAGAACCTGCCAATGCCTCATTACCTGGAAAGAAAGTTAAAACTACAGAGATAATTCAGCAGGTCAGTCATTAACTTTAAAATAAAACCTCTACGGGGGTCCAGTGTAGTATTATGGTCCCTAAATTCAGAAGATGAAGCAAAATGAAGGTTGTCAGAAAAACGCAATATGAGAAAGACTGCAGTTGCCGTTTTTAGTTTTGAAGATGGAAAGGGATCACGTCCTAAGGAAGGTGGGGCGTAGAAGCAGGAAAATATGAAAAAGCACAATAGACTCTAACACTTTCAAAAACATGGCCCAGCCTGCCAAAGCTATGAATTAGTCCAGGCAGGCCCACTGCAGCTTCTGATGTCCAGATTTGTAAAACCTTCCATTGTCCTGTTTTAGTCAATAATTTGGGCTATTTTCTTGCAGCAGAAGTAAGAAACAAATAGAAGGCTTTACTCCCTCTCACCAGTGCGCACCATGTTACAGTCACATCATGAAAGCAGCACCTTAGGGAGCAGAGCTATATACAGAGTCTTCTACTTTCTCAGGAGGTGAAGGAAGTGAAAAGGTGTCCAGAGGGGGAAAGAATTAGATGGGAACAACAATATAATCGATACTCATTTCTGCTGGCTCTGCTTGCAGCTTAGTGATACTCAAGGTAATAGTAAATGTGTCTGCCTCCAATACTATGATGCTTTACTCCTGAACACTCATAGATTGGAGTGACATAGCACAGGAGCTATTTAAGGTTAGATAGAATATGCCAACTTTGCATCTATAACACATGAAACACACCAGGTAAAAAAGCTAATAACACGAAAGACAGGTTCTTAATGACGACTGCCCATGCCAAGAAATTGCAAAAGACTAAGATTATGAGATTTCATGAAACCCAAAATTTGTTTCCTCCTATGGACTATATTCTATCCCAAGTTCTCTTTATCCCTCTTCCACTTGCATTACTTGATTTTCCCATGGCTGCCACAAAATACTTAGCAAAGAAACCTAAAGAAAGAAAGGCTGTTTTGAATCAGAGTTTTAGGGTGCAGCATGGTATGGGAGTCACCGCAGTAGGACATATTTCATCCACACTCAAGTGGTTATATTGCATCCACACTCAAGAAGCAGAAAGAAATGACTGATAGTATGTGGACGGAGACTGCTCTTTGTTTCCCAACTGCTTAGACCTGAATAATCACATAGAAACTGTATTCATTATAACATTGTTTGGCCAAAAGCTTATGCATATTACTAGTTAACTCTTATATCTTAAATTAATCTATTTCTATTAATCTGTGTATTACCACGAGGTTGTGTCCTACTGGTAAGGTAAGGCTCCAGTGGGTGTCTTTCTCCTTTGGCAGCTACATGGCATCTCTTTGACTCCACCTGCTCTCTCTATACATCTCTTCCAGCCTGGCTATATTCTGCCCTGCTATAGGTCAAAGCAGCTTCTTTGTTAACCAACTATAATAAAATATATTCACAGCATACAGAGGGGAATCCCACATCACCTCCAATTTTCTGTCTAATTAAAAAGGAAGATTTTAACTTTAACACAGAATGATTACATACAACAAAAGTTATCAAGCAAAAATTGTACTTACAATATTTAGTCCATTTACATTTGTCAAATTACATAAAATACTTTATCATCTATTCTATCTTTGTGAGTCTAACGTTTTATATCTAATCTATTTCTTATAATTATAACTATAATTCTTCAATTCCATCAAAGACTCCAGGAGGATATAATGTTACCTAAGTAAACAGGAAATACATTATAGCAACTTCCACAACTCTACAATTGACAGAGACATCTCACTTCCTGGACAGTCACCCAAAGTTAATCTGTAACATTGGGGCATCCATCTTAAACCTACAGGCCCATAGTATCTGGTAGACTTTTCCAAGAAGAAGGAAATTTCAAAGACAGTTCCACCTATATTGGCAGTTTGTCAGTTACTATCTTCTATGTCCTGCAGAATGTCTGGCAGACACTTTCATAAAGCAGGAACCCTGAGGGATCATCATTTTTCTGTGAGTCCTGCATGTCTAATTTATACAGCATACCATCAGCATTCCAGGCAAGAGCAGTTTCTTCCCCAATTGTCTAGCCTTGTCTCATTGAAGGCAAATTTCATAACAAGTTTCTTCAATGCCAATCAACCTCTCTGAAGTAATTGGTACTGCCAGAAGCAGACATGCCTCACTGCCAAGGAAAGTCTAAGTTCTTAAAACATTTTAAATGCCATATTATATACATCTTTGAAAATTTTGAAGAATACCTATCTGAAATATATGTCAGAAATCTAACTAACATGACCATTTAGTTTGACTATTATAAATGACTATCTATTAGTCTGTATTTCTTAACTATACATCACATTTTTAAATACCTTAAAGAAGAGAAGAAATACATAAAACAAAATTGGCCTTAAATTTTTATCAATAGACCAATATGCATACCAATGCAAAGTATTCATCTCTATATTATATCCCCCTTTATATGAAAACAAATATTTATAAGCAATATTTGGAAATTTGGGAGTAGTTCTCTTCAAACTGCTTCCTGCTTTTTGTTGGGTGAAGTATTTAGGGGGGTGGGTCATGAAGACCTTTTGGGGGGTCTTGGTTCATCAAACCATGTTAGTCTGGAAGGAATCCACAGGTTCTCATGATTTGTGAAAAGCAGAACCTCTTTTCTAAAGCAACATATCCTTAGACCCAATTTTTGAAATCAAGATACCTTTAAAATATATATATATATATATGTTGGTTTACATTAGCAGCCCCCAGGATCAAATATCTTTCTGTAGTCAAAAAAATTAAAGAAAACACAATAATATACACAATCTAGACTTTCTGTGTATATTCCATATTTATGTGACTTGTTTTTCTTTACTCCTTTAATCTATGACTATCTGTACTTTTTTATATTACTTTTACTTTCTCTTTGAAGTCTTTGTTTTGTTTCTTAAAGCTATTTTTTGGTAACTGACTATACTCTTCTTTTGCTCACTCTCAAATCTTAGTACATTTTTTGAGACACACTATGGCCCATTTAGAGGTTAAATTCTGTCTGAATCTGACTTTGTTGCATATTTGTAAACATTTTCTGATCAGGAGCATTTTTTTAAAAATGGTAAGCAGTTCAGTTGCAGCAGCCCTGGATGATGGCTCCTCCTCTCTTAGCCTTTTAATGTGGCGGAGGTACCTTTACCACCAACTCTAGTACCACAGGATAGGAGCCATGCTCACCACTTTAACTCTGGGAAGGAGTGTGCAAAACATAAACCCTTTTTTATCTGAGTGAAAGCGAAATCTGCTATGCAATGCACTGTGTGGCCTGGGGATATTGCTGTGCATGGCAGTGGGAATCTGTCATGCTCTCCTGTCTGTGCACACCTTGCAGACCTGATCTGGCTGCTTTCCCAGGCAGGGGTGCTGAGCTGCTGTTGTGCTCTCAGCTACTTTCCTCCTGACCCGGGGTGGGCATACAAGCACCTGGACCTGAAGTGTGTGGCGAGCCATGTGGGTTAGCCCCATGTTGAGGTGCCATTTTGTAGATGGAGGCTGCTTGTTTGTTCCAAGCCTAAAATAATCACACAGACACTATATTAATTAAAAATCTGCTTGGCCTATTAGCTCAGGCTTTTTATTAACAAACTCTCACTTCTTGAATTAACCTGTTCCTATAATTTTGAATTTTACTGTGAGGCTCATGGTTTACCGGTAAGGTTCCAGGGCATCTGTCTCCTTCAGCAGCTACATGACATCTCCTCAACTCCACCTACTCTCTTTCTCTCTCTCTCTCTCTCTCTCTCTCTCTCTCTCTCTCTCTCTCTCTCTCTCTCTCTGTTCAGATTTTCTGCTTGATTTTACTCTGCTAAGGCATTGGCCAAAAGCAGCTTCTCTATTAACCAATGGCAATGAAACATATTCACAGCATATAGAGGGGAATCTCACATCACTCGCACTCACTTTGCTTTCTTCTTTTCATTCGGTCAAGGACCCCATCACATGAAACAGTGTCGTAAATATTTAGGATAGGTCATCATCCATATTCAGAATAGGTCACCGTTCCTCTTAAGTCAAATATCTTAGGAAATGTCCTTCAAAGAAATGCCCAGAGATTCATGTCCATGGCGGACATAAACCCCATAAGCGTTAGTCAAGATGAACCATCACAACATTCCTCAACTAGCAGAGAAAGGGGATTTTCTTCTGATGTAGCAACAGTGTGTTCTTTAAATTAGGGTACCTGTGAACAAAACAGTATTCTTGGCTCTTGAGTTCTGTATAGGGAAAAATAGATGCAACATATAGAAAGGCTATTCAGAGAAGCATAACAAATAGCAAAGTAAATTTTCAATATCCTGTATCAAAGGGTCCAGCTACTCACTAAAATCTATTTCTTGATTTTCCTCCCTACCTTCAACAGTCATGTGAGGAACTAAGAACAATAAGCAGAAAGAAAGTTCTGAAAAGAAAGAAACTCAGAACCTTCAAAGGCTTCTTCCTAGGGACAGAAAAGGACTAAGAAGCTAATTTTCAGCAATGGTCCATTCAAAGCTGGGGCTAGACGTTTTATAACCTCAGGCTAGTAGTTCCTGGATAATAAAATGTGAATATACGTCTCAGCTAAAATTCAGAATCACTCGTTCTAGACTTATTACACCATTTAAATAATTATTGCAATAACCATAATACATAGTTATCTATTACCCACATATTACTGAAGACTGACCCCAGAGTGATTGAATTACATACCTGAAGTCACTCAAATGTCAAAAGCCAGGATCTAAACTTTACACTCAAGTCTGTTGCTTTGTCTTGGTTCATTTCTCCCAGCAGCAGACCCTGAGATAAAGATTTAAGGAAACCTCTCTTATTTAGAAAGGAAGCTGGAGAAGTACAGCAGATAAACAAGGTGAGAGCATCCCAGGAAGGCAGTACCAACAGGCAGCCTACAACAGTGCCTAAGACTTCACTCCTAATGGAAAATGATGGCTACCGGCATTACCTGAGGGATGACAGACCCAGGGAACAATATATAAATACCAATTCGCCTTTGTGATTAATTTAAGGCTACTGCTTTTCCAGATCAAATACAGTTCTGCAAACAAAAAATGGGACTACTTTGGAGGGGAGCAAAGAATGGTCTATGTTTGTAAAGAGTTGAGCTGAATGAATATAGCAAGGACATTTACAAATTTATGGCATTCAATATGACTCTATTCCCACAGAATGTGTTAGACTCAGACAGATGTGGCACCTTTTGAAAAAGCCACTGGATACCATAGCCACTGGATACCATAGCCACTGGATACCATAAACACTAGATACCATAGCTATTGGATACCATAGCCACTGGATACCATAGTCACTAGATACCATAGCTATTGGGTACCATAGCCATTGGATACCATAGACACTGGATACCATAGCTATTGGATAACATAGACACTGGATACCATAGACACTAGATACCATAGCCACTGGATACCATAGTCACTAGATACCATAGCTATTGGGTACCATAGCCATTGGATACCATAGCCAGTGGATACCATAGCCAGTGGATACCATAGCCATTGGATACCACAGCCACTGGATACCATAGCCAGTGGACACCATAGCCACTGGATACCATAGCTATTGCAGCCCCATCCCACTAGCATCTGGAATCTCCCTGCAGAATATGCAGTGTAGCCTTGGCATTCCTACTTGTTATGTATTGTCTTAGAACTTCTATTGGTGTGAAGAGACACCATGACCATGGCAACCCTTATAGAGGAAAACATTTATTTCCTCACTTATAGTTCAGAGGTTCAGTCCATCATCAATATGGTGGGACACAGCAGTGTGCAGGCAGACGTGGTGCTAGAGAAGTAGCTGAGAGTCTTATATCTTACAGGAAGTAGACCAGGTATGACTTGAGCATATATGAGACCTCAAAGCCTGCCTCCATAGTGACACACTTCCTCCAACAAACCACACCTACTCCAACAAGGCCACACCTCCTAATACTACCACTCCACTCCGTTGGTGGCCATTTTTTTTCAAACCACCACCAAAGAGAATCTGCATTTTTCTACTATAGGAAGTAAAACAGGCTATTCTTAGGCTCACTACATACCATAAAAAAGGCTTAAGTTGAGGAGCCGGCTCTAACGAGGGGCCAGATTATTCATTCTTCACTGATTCTAGAGCACTTTTTAATGTTTTAATTAGCATATGCTAATTATACACAGTAGTGTGTTTTATTGTGACTTTTAAGATATGTATATAATGCATTTCATCATACTTCAGCCTAATGAGCCCCCTTTCTAATTTCACATCATTGGGAATCAATAAATTTCATTTGAATTGCCTGCAGAACCATGAGTAGAGGGTTATTTACAGGAGCATAAACAAATACCCAGTGGCTACACCGCTAAAGAAAATGTCCTCCCTCCCCCTGTAGCCATTAACCTCCTACAAATACTCAGGGAGGAGTGAGGCCTCCTGAGTCCCTTGTAACAACCCTTTCTGAGGATTCTGAAGCATTCACAAACTCTACTAGAATCCTCTCTCCATAGAAGGCACCATTCAATCATTGTGGCTTAAAGCTTTATATTTTAATCTTAGAACACTCATTTATTTTTAACATTTCCACTAACTCTTTGACGATAACTTTTATTATATTGTCCCTTCCCCTATGCCTCCCATACGTACCTTCTATCCCATTTTCACACAACTTTGTATTCTCAATTTTTGGAAAACCCATTAAATTTGTGCTGCCAATCTACCTTTAGATATGTGGACATTTGTTGGAGCACAGTCAGCCTACCAGAAGACACAACATTAAGGAGAACTAACCCTTCCTTTCCTGGCAGCTATCAATTTTCAACAACTCCTTAGCTAAGGATGGGACTCTTCTGTGTCCACATCTCTTATCAATTCTGAGATTTTTGTCTAATTTGACTTTCCCCAAATCTTGTACATGCTGTCACAACTGCTTAGAAATCATATGTGCAATTGCCCTTTTATGTCTAACTAACCCTACTTCCTTGCAGTCATCCACTACCCCTGGCTCTTACAATTTTTCTGCCCCCTCTTTGACAATGATCCCTGAGCTTTGGATGGAAGGGATATGCTATAGATGTCCAATTTAGAGCTGAGCATTCCAAAGTCTCTAATTTGCAGGACTTTGGCCAGTCATGAATCTCTGTGCTGAGTATCATCTACTACAAAGAAGCTTCTCTGATGAAGCACTAATCTATGAAAACACAATAAACCAGTAGGAGTTAATTTAATACGCTGTACATTTATCAGAATAATAAGAGTTAAGGGACAATCTAGCCATAGGTTTTTGGCTTCAAAAGTATTGCCAGAAATAGGTTCCATCTTGAGAATAGGCCTTAAATACAATTATAAAGTAGTTAATCACTCCCATGGCATTCCTACCACTATCGCCATAGTGGGCATATCCGGCTGACAGTTCCTAGAGCCTTTGGAGTTCACAGCTGGATTAAATTGATGATTACTTTTATCCTCCAGCAATGTACATAGTATCTTTTAGCACTATGCAAACAGGAGTGAAGCTTCTAGGCTAGAACCAACTTGCTCTCTCCAAGTTCTTTGACTCAAATACTCAGTGCCTGCAGCAATAGTTTCGCACCATCCAGTTCTAAAGGATAATGGAAAGCAATGATAGTAGCCTGGAATATTTGGAGTTCTATGGGACCTCTCTTGCCAACAAACCTAATGGAGGTCATTTATGACACTGTGGTTTGTATTTGTTAGTCTGTAGCGTCTAGCAAAGGCACTGTTGCCCCATTACAATTGATTCCACTTTCTAAATATGTTTGTATTTTGGGAAGCGTCTACATAGCATATTCTCATGAGTTTTTCAGAAGGTCATTAGTGTTAGCTGTGTCCCCTCTTCCATCCTGCCCTATTGACTCCATGTAATATGTCCTGTTCCATTATTCCCCTTTATAGAAACACCTTTTAAAACAAGCATTATTTTATATCACTGCCTTAAAGTATCTTCTATTTTACTTCAGTTTGGCTTACCTTTATGAGGGTGGCATGAAAGCCACTAGTATGATGTCTCATTTATGTACAAAAAAATTAGAAAAGGCAGTGTCATGTTTATGTTTGTTTAAACACAAATTCTTGTTCACCATCTCTTTGTCCATTCATAGGCTAACATCTTGAAGTAGATTATAGAACAGAGAGACTGTCTCCTCTACTCCCAGGGGTTCCTTCAATGGTTAGACATTCAGCCTAAAAGTAAAGTAAAAACAAGCTAGCGATGCAGATGAGGATTTAGGAGCCCTCAGAATCTGAAACAGGAAAGTTTCTTTCAGTCTCCTTGGCTGCCATCTAGTTGTGAGCAATGGCATCGGCTGGAAACATCCAGAAGAGAGGAGACTCTTTGAAATCAAAACGAAAAAATACAGTTTGCTAAGGAAACCTTAGCTCCAGACAAAATGCATCTGTCTAAAGGGAGGCTTGGGTGATGAGTAGATGGATACCTTCCAGACAGACTAGAGGCAGAACCATATTGAAGAGCAGGAGGATGTGTGTTGGGGACCACAGAGAAGCTGTCTCAGGGAAGTATTCAGAGACTAATTCATGAAGGGCTTTCTGGGATTGTATTGGTTAATTATTATAACAAAAAGGAACAGTTTGTAAGCCTCAGTAGCATACACTGATCAGCACGTATCTGTCATTCAGCATCGTGGTTGAGCTCAGATAACTTCCTCACTGTCTCTCATCTTTCCCTGGGGAGAGTCAAGGATCTATGAATTTTCTTCAGCAGAAATACAGAGTACAAATATAGTAAATCTACAAACATATGCACGTTAACTATGTAATCCTTCACTCACTTTGACTTGAAAAGTTAAAATGTAAATAGCACATAAAACACCAAACAGCTGAGTTGCTTCCTAAGTTCTTCCAAATGGCCTCTTCGCCCCACCCAGCCATCTTCTATTTTCACTCTTTTTGATTTTCCATTACAAGCGAACAAGGCTGTCCTAGCAGACAGTACCCTTCCATCCTGCCCTGCAGCATTCTGGAGATTGGAAAGGTGGCGCAAGGACTCTCACCTAAGGCAGTAAAAATTTGTGGTTACAACTATGGACCTGAGTACAGATTCAAAACCCAACTCTGCCATTTACAACCATAGGCCAGCTAAAGGGTCTCAGCGTTAGGAGGGTTGAGAACCGCCCGCCGCCTTAGTTTACCAAATCCTCTGTGCTGCAGTGGCCTGACTCAGCACATGAAGAACCTGTAGCGGGTCTCCACAGTGGTCGTGGGAGAATTGAACGACCTATGACAAAAATAACATTCCAAGGGTATTAGACACAAGAAAAGGGGCTTGGTAATTGCCAGCTACTAGCAGTGTATTCCAAGCTCACAAATATTTCACGTAGGACCCCATATTGTTTCACAACCTGAACACTGCTAAAACATCTGACAGTTCAAATTATCCCCCCATGGACTGACAGTTCAAAGTCCAAGCCCCTGCAGATAATGAGATCACTTGCGCCACACAGGTAGTCTGTGCAAACCCTAGCAGACTTCGGTCTAAACAACTCATGAGGGGCTGTTAAATTCATCTGTCAGAGTTCAGTTTTTGCCTGGCAATGAAACCTCAGCTTCACTAGATACTTGTCTATAGTATTGACTTCCAAGTTCTCTCAGGCAGGCAAAGAGATGCTTGAGACAGCCTTAAGCTGACTCAGGCTGCCTGTGTAGACACGACTGCTCATCCTACCAGAGTTAAGCTTTAGTAGAAAATAACCTCCCAAATGTCCCAGGTGCCCAACCTTGCTTTTTCAAAGTCCTGGTCTGAGTATAAAACTACAAGTTAAAAGCAAAAATAACTCTGGCACCCTCTCATGAAACAAAAAGAGGAAGGCAAACAAAAGCCCTCCCATAACTCAATCCTTCTTTTCCCGTTATTTAAAGACGTACAGAGCCTAGAGAAGCTCCTGAGAGAATCCATCATCAATGGCCAGCCTCGCACAGGCCGAGCATGGAAGAAGATCCTCATCCTCGTAGAGGGCATTTACAGGTATGTGAGTGACTGGAGGCCTTTGACACTCGGGGCTCACAGCAAGCTTCCCAATGAAGAGAATAAGAGCTTTCCTGCTAAAAATAAAGGAGGTGCTTATAGATGCCAGGGAGTAATACAAGATAAAGCTACCGACATTAGTGGCCAGATCTGGGGCTTCCTGTCTTTTCTACAGCTCTGTGCATCTTCTGGAAGGCGTGGGGACTGACATGCTGGTGAGGCCTTCCTTAGAAATGTCCTCAGTGTTGATCTGCATTGCTTCCTTCCAGTGCCCTAGCATTTCAAAGACCTTTTGTGTCTGAGCTATTCAACATCAGGATGGTCGAAGACATGTCTGTCACAGATGGTTCAGTGGGTGACTCCAGCCCCCTTATGTGGACAGTGAACCAATCACTTCCTTAAGTCATTAATTAAGTAGGTTAATGACTGGCCTCAGAATATAGGGGCCTAACCTCAAGGGCAATTCTTCCTCCAGAGTAGGGCCTGTGGGATGCTGATCCTAGCATTTGGTAATATTCTCAGGATTCTTTCCCTGCCCTCCTTAAGCTGAGCAGGAAAATACCCGCTAAGTCATTCTGAGCAGCGCTTTTATATTGCTGGCTGTGATTGAATTTGCTTCATTCTCTTTCTAAATCGATTACCGTGGCTCAAATGGAAATTGCACCCAAGCATTTCATCTGTTTACACCCTATTCTGTAAGCCAAGGAAACATTTTCTCAGAGTGCCCCTTCTTAAATCAATTCCCAAGCAATCCTTACAGAGAAGAAACCCGGGGCTCTATCCCCTATAAGCCTCGGAGAGAGACATGAAATACAAAGGAAGAAGTGAGGGCTGGGGAACCCCAAGCCAGAGTGTGACTGCAAAAGAGACATGAGAGCAACGGTAGCTTTGTGACTCCTCCCTCTGCAGCCCTTCCTCTTCTGCATGGAAAGAAAACATTGCTACATAGACAGTTTAATGTGTCCTAACTTGAAACCTCTTCAACTGACAACAAATGAAATCACAAAGGTATTATCTTTATCAATCATAAGCAAACGCCATCTGTGTCAATACCGAGTAATAGGAGAAATGTGCCCTATCCTTCTTTTTTTTTTTTTTTTTTTTTGGAAAAAGGGGGTGAATTCTCCAAGTCAAAGATAAAATAAAAACCAGAGTCTTTATTTATTTATTTATTTTAAGTGATTGGAATTCTGTATTAGCAAAGATGGCAGCTCATAGTACATCGCTTTCCACACTTCGCTCATTATTGTCAAAGGTCGACCCCTGGAGTGGGCAGTGTTTACAAGATCTCTAAAACAGTGATCTAGAAAGCTGGGGTAATTTTTACCCCGGCCCAACCAGAGAGCATTTGGCCGGTGTTAGTGGCCATGCATGAAGTGGAATACTATTGACATCTAGTGGGGAGAGGCAGGGATTGCTCCTGAGCGTCCTGCAAAGCATGAGGCATTCAGAAGAATTCTGTCGTTCAAAATAGCAATACTGCCAAGGCTGAGAAAGCCCTCTTCTTGGATAGTTAACTACTCACTGGCCCTGAACTTTAAGGAAGTAATCTCACCCCGAGTCTGTGCTGTCATAAACCTAAGTGGCAAGCTTTCTCCCTGTGTAGTTTATAGCAGCTACCAGCCTGAGAGGGATTCAAGCAGCCCTTATCTAAATGCCTGTCACTCAGGCTTGGACTCAGGGGAGGATGAATTGGCTGAGAGAAGGCACACTGGGCATCTCCTTTCACCAGAGTCAAAAGAACCCAATTTCAAACAAACAGAACTTATCTCCACTAAAGGAAAGTCACAATTTTAAGCTCTTGGAATGTGGCTGAAGTTAGTGTCCATCCATGTTTTACTAACAAATATTTTCATCAGAAACCACTACAGTAGCTGGACTTACTAGAGGCTAAGCTAGGCTTTATCCTGTCCTGTGGGGAGTGGAGAAGAGAAGGTTTGCAGGTGCACACTTCTGTCCCTAAGCCAATGAGGCACAAAACCACAATTGAGCAACGGTGACTCTTAGCTAACTATTGCTATATATGAAAAGACTTACAGTGATCATTTCTTATTTTCCTTGACCCTGTGAGTCAGGTCTGCTGCCACATACAATGTTCACTGAATTCATTCACAAGACCGCAGTCAGTCAAGAATTCAAGCAAGCATGGAATATTCAAATTTTCCTCATTCACATATTTAGCACTGGCTTTTGGAAAGCGACTGGGGTGCCTTTTTCTCATTCACATGAATCTGGTTTTATTTTATGGGCACCAACACCAGGATCTGTGTCATTTAGTATTGACAAGACATCAGATCATCTATTCAGAGCTCCCTTGCAATAGGACCCCTGGCTTTCAAGATAGAAAACCCAAAAATTGCCATTGTTTTAAGAGAGTGGCCCAGAACTCATGCTGTGCCCTGCTGGCCAAACACACCCCAGAGATAGCCTGGATTCTCAGAAAGGAGAACGATACTTTAACTCCTGGTGGGAAGATGGGATTGTGGACACAGCAAGGGGAAACTTGCACGTGTCTACCTTTGCATCAGTTTGCTGCAGATCAAACAACCTAGCATGTACACCAGGCAAAGTGTCCATGTCATAAACTTCCTCTCATCTTCTCTGCATGATGATTATGTCATCCCAACAGCCTCCACCCCACCAGCAGCCTCCTTTGTAAACCAAGACTAGGGTAAGATAAATTCTGAAGCAAAATTCCAGTTGGAAAGCTTTCACTTGGGCATGCCAGTGTAGAACTGTCACCAGAAAATGAAATTGGTTTCCATCGCGCTTTCCAAAGTGTCCGGGTTGGGAATGTGAGCTCAGCACACACATACCTGATTGGACACTCCCCAAAGCCTCTTTTGCATGTTAACTCCTAGGGTCATCTTTGCTCTTGCTGTTTTGTCTCTTACTTCTCTGCCCCACAGATAAAGCACCACACCATGAGTTTTTCTTCCACAGCAATTTTTTTTCATGATTCTTAAAGAAAACGGTTAAGCTTTCAAGTCACAAAGTTTCAAGTAGGCTTCAAACAAGAAGTGTCTAGGTGACTGGACTGAGAGTCCAGAACACTTCCCAAAATTAGAGACAATAATAATTATTATTGCTATATCCATGAAAGTTCTTATCTTTGTAAAAGTTGGAGAGGAGTCGGGATTTGGAGCCAGATTTGGGACCTGGATTCAAATCCTGGCATTGGTCCCCATAGCTGTGTACCCTCCTTAGAACATATATGTAAGTGTTAAGAAAGATCATATGAGGCAGGATATGTCAGATGCAAAGCCCATAGAAAGCCCACGCAAAGAGTAACTGTCTTCATAATCTCACGTTTTCCATTGAAGAGGTTTCAGGTTGGAAAGCAATAAACTGCCGACATAGCAATACTGATTTGCTGTCCATACAGAAAAGGATGACAGCAAAGCGAGGGCTCACATTGTCCTTGTATCTGGTCCTTGCCCAATATTCTAAGTGTATGACCTTGCACAAGGCTGCTGAGAGTACTATAAAGATGAAGAAACAGAGGCTCTCAGGCCTAGATAAATTGCCCTAGGCAGATTAGTAAAATGAACCAGAGCTGGAATTAATGACCAGGTGGCCCTGGTGAAACAAAGGCTCACTGCAGATAGAAGAGGCCACCTGTCTGTTGGCATCCAACTTGTAAACTCTGAAAGTACAAAGTCATTCTGATTTAAAGTAATCCTATCTAGGCTTCATCTTCTCCATCTGTAAATTAAGGGAATTGGAAACTCAAATTTAAATGTCGAATCCATGATTTGGTATCAAAAAGTCAAATAGCATTCTTTTAGGTTCTAATCTGATTTCCTAACATTGTGTTAAGCATATATTGCTGTGGGTGGGAGAATATTTCTTCTCCTAATTGTGGCAGTAGTCTGGGGTCTTCCCAAAGGAGAAGATTTCACACAAGGACAGAGACAGCACAAGCAAATAGTCAAGGTTTACTTCAGCCAGTGAAAAAGCAAAAGGGAAGTGCACCCTCCTTGCTCACGGCAGAGCTTAACCAAAAGCTCACAACAAAAGTCTATCTGTAACATCTGGACTCATGAGTCTTGGTCTACCACCCATGGGGCAGTCTACGATGGTCTTAGAAACCATTCTGATCCACCATTAGATACATTAAATACAAGAATATGTTTAAAAAGCCTAACAACCGATAGAGTTGAGGTTGCAAAAAAGAAAAGAAAAAAGAAAAGGAAAGAAAAGGAAAGGAAAGGAAAAGAAAGAAAAGAAAAGAAAAGAAAAGAAAAGAAAAGAAAAGAAAAGAAAAGAAAAGAAAAGAAGAACCTCATGTTGCTTGAGCTGACTAGCCAGAGTCTGCCAAGATTAGCCTTGTTGGTTTTTCTCTGAGATCTGTTCTTCATCTTGTCTGGTCAAGGTGACTGTCTCATACCCAGCTAAAAGTCATTACTTCTCTGACTTTGTTGTTTTAGTCCTAAAAATCATTTCAAACCAAACAGCTGTTTTGACTACAGCATTATTTTTGTAGTATCTAAGGAGAACAGATTTCTTATCAATTCATAATGACTAAGAAATCTCAAAGTTATTTTTAAAAAAATGATGCTAGTAAAGATATCCCAGGTAACTTGGGACACAAACCAGCATGATGAGAGCCCAAACTTTCAGAATCTAAAGAGTTTCATAATATGCGCCAACTTTTTCCAAATAGTACACATAAGCATATGATGAATTTGCAGAATGTCTTGAGTCTAAGAATAGATTAAGAGTTCTTCTCCCTCAAACTGCGAAAAGTTAAGAATAACCTCAGTGATAAACTTTCCCCAATCCTCTATAGTTTCAACATGTAAAAAACAAAGAATAAGATGGGTTTTGTCTTAATCCCTCTCCTCCCTCGTTCTCCCTTTTGTCTATCTCAGTCTCTGTCTCTTCTCGCCGTCCCTCTCCTTCTCTCTACAGCCCCCTCTTTTCTCCCTTTTCCTCGAACCTCTTTGTCTCTACCCACCCTTTCCTCTTTTCTCTTGGATTAAACCTTGGGCTGCCAAGAAGAGTTTTCCACCGTACAAGTTTCCTGAGCTATGGCTTAATTTTTGGTTTTCATGTGGAGAAGAGGATGATGAGAAGATTTTAAAAGGAATTGTCACTCAACTAATGCATTATACAATAAAAAATAAGTAACTTACTGACTTGTGGCCTAAAGAATAATTCAAGTCCCTAGACAGAGTCTCAGATAAACTGATGACATTATCTTTATTTATAGCTGTATTTTATTTCTTTTTCTTCTACTAAAGCCAAAAGAAAAACAAAACCTTTCACCCAGGAAAAAAAATAACAACATACTATATGTGTTTTTCTTTATTGCTTTTGGTCTTGATTGTTTTGACAGAAAATAGTGATAATAACACAAATAGTGATTTTATACTTTCACCCACTATAACAAAAGGTTCTATGCAAATTCAATAATACTGGGGGGGGGAATGAAACCATTGTGGATGAATATAACTATATAAAAGCTGAGTTCTCCTTAGGACTCTATGTATGCCTGGCATTAACCCCCCAAATAAGCAGTATTGTAGAGTCATTAATCTTGGAGGAAGAAATACAAGCCAGGTGGTTAGGTCCTTACCTCAGCTAGAGCAGCCCCTAAAAAAACGGCCGATTAGCTGTGGGGAGTGTCTACAAATGCTGTCCATGTTAACTTTGCCTCCTGCCAAATTCAGTTCCAGAAAAAAAAAAGAATGGCTGTTTGTGTCTAGCATATTTTGTGTTACCTATTTACAGCATTTTAAAGACAAGCAAAATCGAAGAATTCTGAGGGTTTGAAATAATTTCTCATGTGTGACCCCTGCAATGACACTCACATGCCTTTATTTTAGCAGATTAAACACAGAACTTTGTTAAAGGTTCCTTTTTATCACATCAGGCCTCAGTGAAACTTTCTGCTTGCAAGCTCACGGAGTGCCTGGGATGGTCTGACAGTTGACAAGCATGAAAGCTAGCCATTATAAAGATTCTGGGAGGAAAGCTTCATCATCATGCTTCTACTACATAAGAATGAAGCGAAGAATAATAGAAAACATCATATAGGCTGCCCAAGTCCCAGTTTGGAAAGTGCTGTGACCCCAATTTAAGCCAATGGGAGACAGATAGTAATATTGCCTCCTCAGAGGAAAGCACTTTAATAAACAAGAAATTGGACGTAGCACTGGAAGTAACTCACAAACATGCATAAGAGAAGACCATTTGGTCTTCCATTAAAATCAGAACTTGGCCATCCAAATGACCTAGTGAAATACCCATGTGCTGTATCATTGATGGTTAAAGTCAACTCTTTCGGTCTGGGTAGCTGTGACACTTAATAAACTGTTTTGACTGAATCAACCTAACACTTAAACTTATTTTTAATGTATTATATACAATCTAAGACCTAACAGGGGAGGATGGCGAAGTTCGCCACTCTTCAAATGATTAGTCTTTAGCTAAATTGCTGCTTGAGTTGTTTGACAAGCTGCATTGTGTTGTGAACATACGAGTCTGGGTTTTTTTTTAGAGCCAGAGTGTTTGTACAGCCCAAGCTATGCAGTGCAAAAGCTTCCAGTGGTTTGAGAACTAAGTAGAGCCAATGTTCTTTAAAACCCATTGAGATCCGGAGGTGCTATGTAAATATAAAGTTTAATTTTACTTATTAGTTGGCTTTATATTATCCTTCTCTAAGGATTTGAAACATTTTACAGTTTGCAGTACCATGGACAATAAAACACTTAGACACTCTCTTGATCACTACACACACTAAAATGGGGATGACAGGGATTAACACGACCCTGGGTAAGTATGACATACCAATCTGGGAACCCATCCTTATTCTTTTGGAAAACATATATAATATATAGCACAAAGAGTAAACACTAAACTAGGGATTTTAGTTAATGTATCAAAATATGCTCATGAAATTGTAATAAATGGCCCACACTAGTAGGTGACATTAATGTCAGGAGAAACTTGGTGAGATTGGGGATACAAGAATCCTCAGTACCTTTTATTCAGTTGTTCTACAAACATAAAGCTATTATTACAAGAAGCTTTGTCAGTTAAAAAAAAAAACCTAAAACTTGAAAAACTAAAATAAATAATAAAATAGGTCTAAAGCAAAAGGGTTGGTTAGTAGCGGTAAATCCCAAAGTGATGTCCTTAGCCACTGGTATGAGTTTATCCTGGAAGCTTATATATACCATTGATCTGTCCCGCCCCCTGACTCAGCACCTCTGGAACCTCTGTGGGAGGAACCAGAAACCTGAGCCTTAAACCTATCTGGAGTTTTAAGGCTTAATCAACTTCTGTCCTGTCACTCTGAAGACTCATGAAGAAAGGGTGCCACCAGGAGACCGATCTGTGATGAATGCTGAGCAGGAATACCAAGGGATTTTCTATCATGTGATAATTGATACTACTATATCTAAAGTTCTGTGTATTTTTAGTTCCCCAGTTTAATCGTTAGCAGTTCTGGCCAGCATTGTCAAACAAGCAATAGCAGATAGATCAAAGTGGCTCACGGTGGAGCACTTTTATTAAGACCAGCAGAATACCTATCCCCAAAGCATTGGTCTAACTGCAAAAAGCAGCTTTACGAATAAATCAGATCAACAGTATGGTAAGTTCATTTCTGAGTTAAGAACTAAGGATAACAACTCAATCCATCAAATATAAGTAGTTTATTAAAGTAGCATGGAGCAGAGAAGATTGAAAGGTTGTCATTGCTAAATAAGATATGCCAATAGAAGAGTGACAGACCCTTATCAGCAGCCTGAGGGTGTCAGGGCAGGTTTTCTAGGAAGCACTGGAAGGAAAGCAACAGAACTTTCCAGAAAGCTATTCACTACTTACCAAGAATGTTTCCTTATGTGCTAGCATGGAAGGTTCCATTGTGAATCTGCCTCAGATTGTGGCTCTAAAGAAGAAATACAAGGCTTACCTCTACATCGATGAAGCTCACAGTATTGGTGCTACGGGCCCCAATGGCCAAGGTGTCAGAGACTTCTTTGGACTGGCCCCTGAAGATGTGGACGTATACATGGGGACATTCACCAAAAGCTTTGCGGCCTCGGGAGGCTATATAGCTGGGAAAAAGGTAAGAAAGGAAAGTTTAGTATTTGTGGAGATCCTGAACACCCTAGGGAAGCAGGAAGCAGGTCTTCTCTGAATCCCACATAAATTTCAGTTCTGCTCCCCTGTAACATGGAGTAAAGAGGAGTGTGAAAAGAGAGATCACAACCAGATGACAACAGCAAGGGCACAATTTGTAGAGCACCTAGGAGAGAGGAAACTCAGCTGGACCATGTCTGAGACATCTTGTGGAATGACTGATCATCAACCAGTCTTGTAGACAAATAGTGGGAGGTTTAATTTCACAAGAGACAACAGCATACACCAACCCACAGAACTGATAAGAGATCCCATAAGAACTACAAGGGAGTGGGGTAGAGAGATGGATCAGTAGTTGAGACTACTGGTTGCTCTTCTGGCTTAAATTTTTGGCACCCCACAGTGGCTCAACACAATCTCCAGCCCCAGGAATCTGAAGCCTCAGCTGGCGCTGCTCAAATATGGCACACAGACATACATGCAGGCAACATGTGCATACAATTTTTTAAATTCAAAACTTAAAAATTAGGAGGGTGTGTGTGTGTGTGTGTGTGTGTGTGTGTATGTGTTGAAAATAAAGTAAGTGATAGAAACAATAGGAAAAGTTCATGTATTAGAGAAGCTGACCTGATGGATTTTACAAGTTGTCACCTAAACAACGGCAGAACAAAAATAGACTTTTAAGATTATTTTTCTAAGAAATAACTTTCCTATAATGCTATATAACCCATCTTCTATATTCTCAAAATGTCTAAAAATTTGGATCAGATGACATTATACTGTTAAAGAAGTGAAAAGGACAATCAAATATTCAGATCTAGATCTAAGGGACAAAGAAACTGTGCCCTGGTCCCTTTGTCTGTATGTACCTTTTCCAAATCATAGCGGTTGTTTCATACAAGCTTACATTTGTCCCAAAGGGACTGTAGTATGGCTCCTACTAGAGGGGCATTGTTGACCCCAAATTAGTGCCCGGAGGTGCTGCTAAAACCTTGTCTAGGCCAGACAGTGGTGGCACATGCCTTTAATCCCAACACTCACTCAGGAGGGAGAAGCAGGCAGATCTCAATTAGTTAGAGGCCAGCCTGGTCTACAGAGTGAGTTCCAGGACAGTCAAGGCTACACAGAGAAATACCATCTTTTAAAACTGGGTGAGTGGTGAGACAGGGGTATCTAGAGTTACTTATTCAGTTACTTATCCACTCTGACCAGCAGGAACAAAAGTTCAGCCTACTGGTCAACCAGGTTAGGCCAGTTGGGGGGGATATGTAATAGGCAGCTACTATCACTAAAAGCCAGTGATTTAAAACAACACATTTCATCTTGGCCACTTACCATGAGGCATAAAGATGCCTAAAATACTGTTTCCAGTGGTCTTTGTCCTCCTTTAATTGCTGCTATCTTCAGTACTCAAGACATTGTATATCATCCTCCCTCCAGTGCCCTACTGGGATGAGCTAGGTAATGCTAGAAACAGAGGGACTGTCAGGCCCTCAAAGACTTCAGCAAAGCCTAGTGACAGGTTAATATTTCCTTCCCAACTGTCACATCAGCGGGATCAGAGGGTCTCGGGGTTAGGAGCTGTCAGATCCGGGTTACCTTGCCTTGTATGGCCTTGATTGCTTTAGCAGCAGTTCTGAGGCACAAAACTTTTAATCAAGCGTAACTCTGTTTCCTGAACCAAAGGCACCTGGATAAACTGAAGCAAGCAGATCCTTGAAACGCTGTCAGATGTGTTGGATGTCACATTTTTCTCCTTGGAGTGCCTTCATTTGATACCTATTTTAAACAAAGGCCCGGGACTAGTGGCAGGAAGGACAGTTCCCTGGGATCCTGCACAGGTTTTTTGTTCTGAAGGCATGTGCGGGGTTTCCTAAATGGAACACTCTTGTCCACATGATTTCTAACCCTTTAGGGTAGACACTGAACAATTGTGAAAGCTATCATAAATCAAGACGTGCTTCACGCCTGCATTTTTTTCCCCTTAACCCATGTTATACTGCAGTATCGCAATTAACCACCAGGTGGCATCATGAATTAGAGTATGTTTGGCCAGAGCTCGCTAGCCAAACTGCAATACACAGCTCTAAAACACCAAGAGGCAAAACCTTGAAGACACAAACAGAACTCAGTACACGGAGGCTGAGCAAGAGAATTTGACCATAAGTCTCGAAAATAATCAAGTGGGTTCAAAACTCTAGATAAATATAAAAATACTTGGCTCTGAAATCTCTTGTTAGTCTCCATTTACAAACAATATTCTTTCTTATTATTTATTTATTCTCCAGCCAAAACAGTTTCTCCTCCCAGACATCCCCCCCCCAACTTCCCCTCTTCTGCTTCCCTTCAATTTTCTCCTTTCTCATAAGAAAAAGGCAGGCCTCCCATGTATATCAGCCATGGCATACCAAGTTGCAGGAGACTAGGCACCTCCTCTCCTATTCAGACTGAAAGTGGCAACCCAGTAGGAGGGAAGGGTCCCAAAAGCAGGTAACAGAGTCAGAGACAGCATCTTGTCCCATTGTTAGGAGTCCCAGGAAAAGACCAAGGTACACAGCTATAACGTATTTAAAGAGCTCAGTACCATGCAGGCTCTCGGGTCAGCAGTTCAGAGACAATATTCTCAATCATTGCAATGAAGATGTTCTAGGAATCTTTGTGGAGTGGATCAAGAGCAGAGATTTGCACATTACCAACCAGAAAAATCAGGCAAATGAAAAATACTTAGAAACAAGTGAGGGGCAGAGGGAAATGCGCTTGGTGCAAAGGTCTCATGGAAAGCAGACGTGCTCTTGGGATCTCAGTTTTCCTTCTTATTAGGTGTTCTACAAATTCATCTTGGTGAATCAGGGGTAATTCTAAGCTGAAGCACTGTCTCCAAAGCCTATGAGGCTTTCCTCTTTTACTCTTTGAGTTTGGAACTCTGTTGCCAGTGAACAATTCAATACTCAGAAGGGCATCCTTCCACGATGTCCCAGGTGAAAAGCTAGATAATGATTTCACTTTTCAATTTTTATTTATCTAACTGCTGAGAGGACGTGATCAACACTGCCTGTCCTCTGCTCTCCTGAGCATGATCCTGCATCTTCTTGTTCTCCTGAGCATGATCCTGCATCTTCTTGTTCTCCTGAGCATCATCTGGCATCTTCTTGCATACTGACTGTTGCCCACTGACTTCTCAACACCGCCCACCCTCTGTTCTCCTGAGCATGATCCTCCATCTTCTTGGATGCCTGCTGTTGCCCACTGACTTCTCCCAACCTCCACAGATGGATGACTGGCAAATACGTGAAGCAGAGATTGCCCTGTGACTGATAGTCTGCAGGGTTGTAATTCTAGAAGATGGAAGTGGGAAACAGAGACGAGGTTTGGGGTGATCGTTAGATCCAGTGGCCTGAAAAGCAAGCAAATGCAGGCCCCTTACAGAGGTATTTCTGTGCTGGCATTACGTACGCCCTGCCTGCACGTAACAGCCCTTTGAAGTAAATAGGGGTCACGGAATGAATACCAAGATGTTTATTCTAAAAGCCTCCTGTCTGATTTCCTCCTCAAAACCCACCCTTGCCCTTGAACTCTGGGCCTAAGGGTAAAGAAAATAATCAGGGTTTTGAACTTGAAAAGAAAAAAACAGGGCTTGGAAGCCTGTGTCTGAGAATACCTCCAACCCACTCCCAAAGAAAGACACAATGCAGACTCACCTTGCGAAGGACAAAAGCCAACTCTTAATTCATGGCTTGTGGTACCCAATCAGGGGATAAAGGGATGGAATCGGTGGGCTTTCCTTGACATTCTCCAGAAGTTACTACAGAACCCTCCTTCCTCAACCACACAAGCAAAATACCCTTTACCTGGATTAGAACAAAATGGACTCAGTCTAAGGGAATATGCTGTAGGACAGAGAATTTTCTCTCTGATGGGCTATTATTCCAACTAAGGATGCTTGTGAGTGACTGCATAAATTCCTCAATTTATGAAAGGAAATGGGGGTGGGGACGTTCTGATCAAAGGAGGCTTTGCTTTGTTTCCTTGTCTGATCTTTGCAGTGACTACTTCTCAGCTGAGATGTTGCTGGACTTGTTCTTAAGAATACATCTTGCTCATCTTTAACGCAGCAAGTGACTGCCCATCCTTCCTGTCGCTAAGACTTTCAGTTTAGCAGGTTCTCTGCTAAGTCCCTATGACAGTGGACTTTAAGAAAAGTAGTGTACCCTTTATTGCTTTCTCTCTAGGTACTCACTCCCTTTGAACAAATAAGAATAGTACACACAAAAGCCTTTAAACTCAAAACGAGTAAAGAGAAAAGACCATAGGGTAGGCAGAAGAGCTGGTCTCCGTGCTGTCTGAGACTCACTTCCTTTCATATTGAGGCTACAATTCACTGGTTTTGGACAGGTGATAAGCATAGCATTAAAAGTGGAGACTCCTGAACCAGAATCATTGGTTTTAAATCCTCATCTTACCATCCTTCCATCCTTTGTGAGAAATTTTCAGGATGTCTGTGCCTTAATTATCATATAT